CTCCCCTTCGTCACATCAAAATCCCAACCCACCCCGGTTGGGTTTTTTTCCTGTTCTAAAATTTCATGCTATTTATTAAATGGATTTTATTTTGGATGAAGTGGCTGTCAGTTGCCCGATTGATTTTCTCATGATGTTTTTTCACCAATATCAACATCCTGGTGAATCCAGTAATTGCTGTGGAGCCAGGGCCTGTGTTTTCAAAGCAGTGATTTTTATGATGAAATTGAACACGCTAAACAAGGCTTACATCTAATTCTAAAGCATATTGATAAACGAAATCCTTTGCGCTCATTACCTTCACCACGGTACCTTCTTATTTTACAGTTGGATACATTTACTTGAATATTTATGCAAAATAACAAATCTGTAATGAAATCACTGGTAAGTTATTAAATCATGCTGGTTTTCCTTCAAGCGTTGCAAATTACCAAAAATTAAATCATTTAAATGTAGTATTATCATTCCAGGTATCTGCTCTGGCTTTTTCTGGAAACAGTAGGTGTGCTTTGGAACAAATAACGCCTCTTCTGAGAGCAGTGTTTTTTCAGTTGTAACCAGGATGCACTTTTTGTGGCTGGACTGCTTTAAATTGAAACTAATTTAGTTGACTGAACCCCCCCTTTATGAAATGAAAATACTGAAATGTAAGGCAAGCGGAGTTTAAAATCCCAGTGTATCCTCTCTCAGGTAGTCTGATGTTTTGCCAGTGTTCTCCATGCGATGGAGTAAATCCCAGCGGTGGGGAAATGGGCCAAACAGAGTTTACAGAGCCGTTCTGTTGATTACCTTTTTGTAGTAAAAATACAGGAGCTTGTTAAAATACCAGCCTTAAGCTCCAGTAAGCTGCCAGCATCAGCCTGAATTTGGGCACGTGGATTGCTGAATTGCAGTTTGTTGTGAAAAGTCAAATAATCTTCATCTAAACCGGTTCAAATCTCATAAGCCAGCTCCATTAGAGTGTGTTCTGTACTCCATGTACTCGTACGTGGGAATTTGTAGTAGTAGGCTTTATTATCTTCGTTGCTTTATGCTGATACTGAGAAAAATCTATGTTTTCTTCATCCAGAATGTTCCTTTTCTCCCTGGAATTGACGCATTGTAATTCCTGTTATGCAGTATTACACAGATGTGGTTGTGACTTCTCCTGGGGCAACAAGCAGTTTCTTTCTGCATGTTGTTGAACGAAACTTTCTGAATTGTCACCTTTTTATGAATACCAATAATATCTTGTTGAAAACTGGACATACCGGGAATGTACATGAGGGATGTGGGATGGTGGAACCCTGCAGTGCTTTAGCTAGGGTGGGTCACACACAGCATTGCACTAGTTCAGTCCTGCTAAGAAGCCTGTACTCATCTTGTCTTTGTGTTGTGTGCTTAAATAAATTTTCAACAATATACTCTGCTTCTGTGTCCTTGGGATTTTGGCCTGGCACAGTTCTGCTCAGCTGATGATAACTGTAGGGTTGTATACTGGACAGAGCCGGACTTAGTGTTAGGAGCCATTGAGCTAGATTAGAGAAATACATTTGTGGGGTTTTTTTTGTAAATGAAAAAGGTGCTCGATGTCTTTCCAAGTGGTGGGCAGGAGGGTTGGAGGCACAGATTTTACTGTTGTTGAATTTGCATTTGAGGCTGCCGCTTTTCTGACCCTCTGGTGTGCGTTCACGATAGCAGCACAATGATGCTTCGTGCTAGGGTATGTGCATCAAAATTCCAGCTAGGCAGGTCAAAAAAAATCCAAACTCTTGCCATGGATCCATAACAAGATGTGTTTCAAAGTCACAATTTAGTAGGAAAAATTATGCACTGTGCTTATATGCTGATAATTCACCTGATTAATCTTCTCTTCATTTGTGCTGAAAAGTAATCCAGGATTCTTAAAGGTGTAAATGAAAACTAGGCATACATTTGGTACTGGCTTGGCTTGTGGAGCACACTGTGAAAGACAAGAGGTAGAGCTGGGGGCACAAGGTGTGCTTTTCTGGGGCTTGCCAGAGGTGTTCTGTGCCGTCCACGTGTGGGCTGAACAGCAGAAAACTGCGACTTCATCACTGCCGGGTGAGAGCCACAACATCTGAGTCAGTGGGGGAGAAGGGTAAAAGAGAGAGTGTGAGAAAGAGGGCACGGAGAGTGGTAGAGAACCCGAGGGAAAGAAGAAAAGGGCTGGGTGAGAGGGGGGAGAAAGCTGTTTTTAACCCATTTCCTCTCATAAAGCAGCAGGTTGGGGCTCTCCAGCCACTGATGCATTCTCCACAGTAAGTATCACTTCTGTCACAGGGCACTTAGTCACCATGGGATCTTCCTGCAATTCCCACTTCCCAACTGAAAGATACTGTGGGAAATCATATGATGAGATGAGCTTCCTTTTTTGCAAGTTGAAATGGGTCAGAAATGGCTGGAGTGCTGCGGGGAGCTGGACGGGTTCACGTGGCTCAGGAGAGCATTAAGCCATCAGGGTGGGTAGGTAGGAAAGAGCACTTCTACAGAGAGCAGGAGGAAGGTGGCAGATTCATTCTTCTTTATTCTTGTCTTCTTACGGCTGCTTTTTCCCAGGGGAAACGTATTTTACGTGATATACCTGAAGTCTGTTGTCGCAAAAGGTTTAAAAAAATGTTTTCCAGGAAAATGAAATGTAAAATTAAAGCCCTGTGTTGTTACGGCTGTGCCCCCAACCAGAGCAGAATCCCATCGCTGTGCCTCTCTGCCGTAAGTCCTGTCCCCAAAGTGGTGTTAGCCGCGTTCGCCACTTTGGGTTGTCAGCGGAGAGCACTGGCTCCATTAGTCCCCATCTCAGCTGGCTGCTCATGCTCAGGAGATCCCAGCAAGAAGCAGAAAGTGCTAATGGGGGTGGAATAGAAATGGTTTGGCAAAGTACATCGTAAGGGCTCTCTGCAGCATCCTCTGCTCTGGCCAGTGGTGCTGTGTAACAGGAGGAGCACAAATTACAAAACCTAAAAGGAAGAAATTGCTTAAAAACAAAACAAAAAAGGGAAAAAAAGAAGGGAAAAAAACCCCAACCACAAAATAAGTTTGAGGGCGTTTTAGTAGTAGCAGTAGGAGCCATCGCAGATGAGGTAGTCTCTCTCTTTAACGTAGATAGCACCAACCTGAATCCTTTATTTAGGCTCAACGTAGCTCTTCCCGAAGAGTTTGCCCAGGTAAGGGCTGAACAAAACCTCACTCTCCTGAACACCGGGTAACTAGAAACGGTATTCAGGTCACACAGCAGTGAGTGATTCCTTTGCTTGCCAAAGAAGAAAGTGCAACACAAATAGAAATTGTAACTAACATTGCTGGAGCCTTGTAATCTTAGCAGGGTATCAAATATATCTCGTGCTGTTATATTTTGTCATTAACTTAATATTACAATGAAAAAGATTATGGAAAAATGTCTAATATTTGTATATTGTCCAGTAATTAAATATTACAAAGATGTGTCAGTTCATTACTAATCATAATTAAAGTAGTTATTTTCATTTTCAGCTCAGACGTGTGCGTAATTAAATGTACCTAGGAAAGAATTGCCTATTTTCTCTAAATAATTAACAGCTCTTGCTGCTGCGCTGGGTGCTGACCTCGCACGGGGTCCTGTTGGGTTAGTTGTAGCATGGCTGATTCCATGAGCTCCTGCAGGCAGGCCACCATGCAGCATCGGTGCTGAGCTGTGGCACCAGCTGGTGTAGGGGGGCTCATCTCTACGCGAGAGAGAAGAGTTCATAAGATGACAGGAGCTGAGGATCTGGCTGATGGATTGAATGTGTGAAGAGGGAAGTAAATAATTACAAGTGGGCAGTAGCTGGAGAGAAGAGTGTGTGGTCTTAGTGAGCCAAGGAGCTTGCACAAGCAGGGCTGGCATGAACAAGGAGAGAGGGAGTCATAGAATGGTTTAGGTTGGGAGGGACCTTGAAGATCACCTAGTTCCACCCCCTACCCTGGGCAGGGCCACCTCCCACCAGCCCAGGTTGCTCCAAGCCCCGTCCAACCTGGCCTTGAACACCTCCAGGGATGGGGCAGCCACAGCTTCTTTGGGCAGCCTGAGGGAAAAGGCTTATGGGATAGAAGGAGATTTAAACGGAGCAGAGCCTGCTCCAGACTTTCCACGCACATACTTCTGCAGCAGCTTTCCACCCGCTGTTTTGCTTCAGAATAGGCTCAGTCAGTTTGGTTGACCGTGCTTGCGAACCTCAAGGTAGGACTCGCCCAGCTGACGTGGAGAGCAGGCTGCCCTTTTCTTTGCAGGCACTTGTAAGTGTCTGAAGACTTTTGTCATCCTTTCAAACATCTGAAGGACAATTTAATCTATGTCCTTTAGGTTTGTTCCAGTCTGGTGACTGGGGAACTGGGAATAAGGGGCTAAATAGGCTTTAGTTTGGATAGGAAGAAGAAAACAAAGGCAGATTATGGAAATATTGGAAGAAGTTCCTGCATCTTTGGAAGCTTTCCTGTCTCTCCAGCCATCTTGGGTTTGTCTGGCACTGCTTTTGTTTATCTGGGGATGTCTCACTGTGCCTTTCTAACCTACAATTAAATGAAAGGCAAAGAGTAAAGGGGACAGGTTTTTTGATATTGCTTATGTCAGGGTAAAAGACTAGGAGATGTATTAATAAGCCCGGACTTTCCAAATGCTTTAAAAAGATTTTTATCTTTAAATCAGTTGCTGAAATAGCACCTTCTGACTGTAGGTATGCTTCATACCCAGAGAGTATATTTAGAACAGTGCATTTATGGTACAATCTGAGGATTGTCCCAAGACAATTGTTTATATTGTATGCTGCTCTGGCACTGATGTGCAGAAGGATGTCTTCCTTTGGACACGGACGTTGGCTGTTTCCCTGTACTCGTCAGTAGAGCCAATGCTCTGTCCGCCACTGCATTTTTAATTAATCTTGGACTTGAACAAAGGTAGAGACCGGTAGCATCTCTCGTGTCCCACTGCTGTTCTGGGTTATGGGTTGGTTTGAGTGATATTTATCAACTATTTTTGTTTTAACCAGATAACGATGATTCTGACGTAGAGATTCAAGAGGATGTAGGATCCGATAGCGAAGTAGAAGACAGGCGGATCATGAAGCAGCGCGCCACCACAGAAACACTTCTGCAAGGTATCTTAACCTTTCCTTAGTTGCCTTTATTCAGAAGGATGTGCTGGAATTATCTGAGTAACCTTAAATGTAAGAAGACCCTGTTATCGTTCAGGCCCACTGGCACTTCTGAGTTCTTGTGAGCTGTAAGGGGGAAGTGTCTTGTGGAAAAAACGCTTTCAGGCAAATTAAGGATTATTTACTGAAAAAAGTACCATGTGAGGAAAATCCTTGGTATTACCTTGCAGACCCTGAGGCAGCTTTATACAAAGCCTCAGAAAAGCAATATTGTTTCTCATTGCAAAGCATGTATTTCCCTTTAGCTGTTGATGCTCGTTGTAGTAGGTTCTCCTTCCAAAGCAGACCTCTAGTGAGTCCATAAAGCCACCTGCACTGTGGCACAGTCACGGGTGCAACACACCTGAGTTATTTCTTTCAGGGAAGGACGTCTGGCTTCTGCTTCTGTTTGTGGAGTGGAACTGCAGGCTCTGGCTGCTGATTCCACTAGGGCCCTGGTCAGAAGAAACTTGGAGAAATGACTGTCTGAGGGTCTGTGTTTCACTTAGGTGGAAAAAGAAACATTCTGCTTAGTCTATAGTCCAGCAAAATGAAAGCAGAAAATCAGGTTAGTTCTCCTTGGCATTCTTGTTAGCAATGAGTGATTCTGACCGTCAGCAAAAGCCCATCTGGGATCTGGGTGAAGTGCCTGTGTAGGTAATTTTATGTGCCACTACTTCTGCTGGAACCTGTTACTTAGATAAACTGCAAATATGTGTGTTTTTTCTGACTTGAATTCTGCTCTCCTCTCTTTGACTGAGACCACAGCAAGAAGCTGAAGTTGTCAAGTCAATATGATTCGAGTATTTTCATCCTCAGTTCCTCTGTTTTTCATAAAACGTGAAAATTCTTGAAAAGTGTTAGAAATGCTGATCTTCACTAACGATTTTTACACTGCAGTTTCTCAAGGAAAGGTTTAGAGGTGACTGTGTAACTGTCTGTGATGCTTCATCTCGGAGAGCATCATAACCTAGCGGTGTGGGTACTGACTGCAGTCAGAGTCAGCTCTTGATACCAATTTTAGGAGTGAAAAGCTTTATTATAAAAGCTGTAGATTTTGTTGCAAGTACAATTTTTTTCTAGGAAGAGCTTTGGTATCATTAATTACGCTTACTGGAAACTCAGCATTAGCTTGTCAGGCTTAAAGCAAGCAGTTCAGATCGCTGAGATGTTTTCTCTGCCGTGCTGTTTAGATTGCTTTCTATGCTTTTGTAGGTCTCTTCCTAGTGTTTAGGAAACTACCTCTGGCAGGTAATTATCCTCTGACTTTTGCATACTCCGAGCATGCTGTTTGCTGACTACACGGTCGCCATCCCAGCCCTTACTCTCCTTATCTCCATGTATGTTGGAAGCCTCCCTTAGCTCTCCATCCTATTTTTGCCTCTCACCTGCTGTGAACTACTGAAGCAGCTCCAGGTATGTTAAATGGCTCCTGAGATGCCTTTTCTACAGTTTCTCCAGAGGGAGTGAGGTGTTGTATTCCCCCGTTCTAACTCACAACACTTCAGTCCTACAGTGCTCTGGTGCAGTCTCTGCTGGCAGAGATGGGTACAAACATTGTCAGACTCTTAAGGGAAGGATTGTTGGCTCACTCTTCTGTTTTGCTAAGGTTACTCATCATCATCTTGGGCAGGCTGCCCAGTTGCTGTAGCTGTAGCTACGCTGTGAGATTAACAGCGGGCTCTCTGTCCATACCGCTGGCTTTGGTTCAAAATGGCTACATTTTTTGTTTAGGAAAACTCAACTTTGGGATACCTCTGCTTCTGGTGTTAGAGTGCGCTTGCTCAGTCCTGCCCCTGTCCAGAACATACAACCAAAAGCTTGGGACTGTATCAAGACACCAGTCAGGCTTTCCGTTGGGAGCTCCAGCCTGATCCAGAGTGCGTGCTTACATGACGAGCAGTTCTGGCCTAAGATCTGCCCCTCTCCGTCTGTGTAAAGGGGCCCCTTTGGTCCAGGTCCCTCATCGATAGTGAGGTCATACGTTTGACTGCGTGACCCTCACCAACTGAAGTCCTGGAGACATGTCAAGACTTGAGATTAATGTCAGGTGCGTCAGCTTCTTTAAAAAAATTGGGCCTGGAAGTTCACTGGCCATTTGTCGTTAAACACACCAAGAATCTGTACATGTTCTTCAGCACGGGTAGTTTGCATTTATAATGTACTTAATTATTAAGGTGGCATGACAAGAACATTATTTCTATTAATTACTGCTTTTTTTCTTGACTCGGTTCAAAACATTTCAACCATTTGCTTTTGAAGCATTGTGTCTTCTTACACAGTGGTGCTTGTGAGCCGTATTTGCTCTCAAACTAAGGAGAAATGGTCCGCTCTGGTCAGTTCCTGTTGTTGCTGTGATTCAGTTTTTACATCTCTAATTTCCAGGTTATTAGTATTGTAAGAGAAGACTTCTTCCCTCTGTCTGTAATAGGCGGGCAGGTATTCCAGTGTGTTTTGCCATTGTAGAGGCAAGATTCTCAGGGAGAGATAATCTCTCTTATTAGGCCACTTGGCATAATTGAGGAAAAATCAACACGCTTTCACCCTCAAGAGTCCTTTCATCAGGTTTGTCTAGATGCAGCAAAATTCAGCCTAAATGCAGCTTTGACAGTATTGCTTCTGGTTTTATTCTTTTAGCCAATTAAAAGACTTGAAGGTGTAGGACTTAGTCTCCCATGGAGCGGAAAAGAGTGTTAGCTGGGGGAGACGTGAGAGGCAGCTAGCGCCTGTGGTACAGAGAGGAAATCGAACCCTTATTCCCCATGCACAAAGAGAAATAAGCAGTAGCAGGTTACGGAGGAGCCTGCAATGCGCTATGGAGTTGATATCTCCTTTGAGTTCAAGGGTTCTGATTCAGCGGTACAGCAAACCCAGTTTTAGGATGCCAGGACGGCTTCAGTACGAGGAGGGAGCAAGTATATAAATGGCTAGGAAGATAGTCGCCAAACTGACAGATGCTGACTTACTGGGTTTGGGAAACTACAACCTGTTTTGTTGCCACAATATCACAATTGCAGGCAAGTCTCCTCCTTGATGGGGCTTATGATAAATCCATATGTCACTAATCGTTTGCTTTTGTAAGTAAGATTCATCCTTGATTTATCATCTGTAACTTTTAATTTGAACGTTGTCAACGTGAATCAAAACTCACATCCACTTTTATTCTGTCTGGCAATAGATAAGTGAGGTTGTTACATAAATAAAATAGACGCATGGACTTCCCTGAGGTCAAAGTGTGAGTTATGATGGTGTTTGGAATAAGGCTCTGTTTTGTCAAAGAATTAAAGAAAAAAGCAATTCTTGCTGTGTTGATGGTCTGAGCTGTCTGCAGCATAGAGAAACCTCTTGCCTGAAACAGGCCATAAACCAGTAGTTCGCAGCAGGACGGTTGTTCTTGAGCAGATGGGGTGGACGTCAGGGTGAAGAATGCCAAGCCTTGTCCTAGGAACGTAGAAGCTGCTGTGCCAGGTCAGGCATGAGGTCTGTCTAGCCTGGTTGTCGGTCTCCAGCCCTGGCTGAAAGAAAATGCTTGGGCAAGAGTGTACGAGCTTCTCTCAGGTTCCCACTGTTTCAACCCTCACCAGGATTTCCGGAGCTGGATGTGGTTTCCACGAATTTAGTCTAACCCACAGTAGATGTGGGGGTTTTTTTCTAAGAAACTTTACAGTTTCCCCTTGAACTAAAGTGGATTTTTTTCATCCGCACTATCAAAAATGGCAGATTTGGAAGCGATGTTGTGTTTACCTGTGCAGATCCATCTTTCCAGTCTCATTCCAAACAGAGGTCTGAAATGCATTTTGGAATCAGGAGCAAATTCAGGATCTGGCTGATTGGGCGGGCCAGGGCAGACTGGCACACACTGTGCTGCAACAAGGTAGGCAGTGGAAATGCTACTGAATGAAGCAGAAGTGATCCACGCTTGCAGAACCGTGGAATTGTGCCTGTCTAGAGTAAATCACCCTCTCTTCCACGCTGCCAGGATCTTTCAGCTCCTGTAAACCAATTATCCAAATGCTTTAGCTCTTAGGTTTTCTTTCTGTGACGTTGGTGTTAAGGGGTGTTTCTTTGTCCTGTTCGGACCACATAGACCATTTCACTACTGAGACAGCAACAACTTTGGTGCCATTTGGTCTTTATTGTAAGAAGACGGCTTTATGCAAACTCTGAATGTTTTTCAGCAGACAATCAGTCGAAAGTCAAACAGTGAGAGAGCAGCTCTCTTGGAGCCTCTTACCTTTGCGGAACTGACCCAGAGGATCAATGTGGTAATGATGTGCCGGCAGCCAGGTTAGCGAGTGTACTGCTACCGAATGGATCAAGTCTTTGCCTGTGAAAACCCGCACTTGTTTAACGCAGAAAGAAGAAATATGTCTCTGGATGCAGGAGGTGAGAATAAAGGGATTTTATTAAGAAAGCAAAGTACCTCATTGGAAAAAACAGAACCAAATATGCGACAATCAAACCGTAGATGAGTGCAGGGGCCCACAGAGAGCACAGTCCCATGTCTCTGTGGACATGGGCTGGTGTGCCAGTGCTGGCTGTTCCCGTGCTGTGGCCAGGCTGCGGGGATCCCCAGTCCTGTACAGATGCATCTCACAGAGGCAGTGCATGCAGAGCAGCAGGTGTCCAAAGCATGCTGATGATGCTCTTGTGGCAGATAACTCGGTGTTTTGAGACAATGGTGATGTTTAGCCTCCCTCTCTCAGTTTTCTTTTTAAGGTTGAGCTGGCCAGCAGACATGAGGAAGGGGCCAAAGGTACCCTGTGTACTGGGGGGAAGGTTGCAGAGACTGAATTAGCCCTCATTTTTTCAGTCCTGTAGAGAGAATTGGAGATTTGACATAGTAGCAAGAAATCTTCTCAGGTGAGCCTACACAGGCCTGTATCGAAATCCCTCCGTACCACAAGCAAGGAAGTAGAAAAGACCTGTTCTCAGCGGAAATGGTCAGAGTCTGCTTATGGAAATTCTCTCTCCAGCTTGTGGCCATGTTCAGGTTTCTGCTACTGAATTTCTAGAATGTTTTCCTTCCCTCTAACCTCATAGAAACCACAGGTGTGCTACCAATGGGAAGGGGAGTGGAGGCATTCAGTTAGGAATGTGCAACAGCTGCCTGCTCCTTGTTGGATGCCTTGTTCCCATTGAGTTCCTGTGGCTGTCACCTGCCTTATTTTTAAAAGAACATGTTAAATAACTAGTCTATTTCTTCCCTTCTCTTTGGTTCCTAAAGGAAATTACATCTCTTGAGTCCAAGATCAAGAAATGCATGCAAGTGCATTTATCTTTACAAATACAAAATGATAACAAATCTGCAGGTTTTCTCAAACTGTTACATCCTTCTCTGTTGGGGAAATGAGCCCAGATAAGAAAAACGTGCTGAAGCCCACTGCAGTTGTCGGCATGATTCAAGTGCGGTGTGATCCCCTCCCTGGTCTCTCAGCTTTGTCCGTAGGGACAGCTGCCTCTTAGCGGTGTGTAGTGCAGGATGTGGTCTCCCAAGTCATTCTCCACAGTCAGTCTGTTCACGAACCCTTAAGAAACAGTGATCAGGGTCTCCCCACTGCTGCAGTCAGAGTATGTGGAACCTGTGGGTTGGGAGGGGGGCGACACACCAGAAGAAAATGTCTTGTTCAGAGTCTTGCCACACTTGATGACTACAGTGCCACCAGGGAGGATTTACCGAGGGTGTTGCCCATGCAAACTTCAGCCGCAGTCTCGAGAAACTGTCAGCATCCGCCTGATGTTCCAGCATGGCAAGGCTCGAGTCTCAAAAATACCAGGAATCTGCAGTTCCCATACTCGGAGGGTTAGCAAGTGCTCTGCATCTCATGCTTTCAGAGGCCAAAATAGATTCCAATGTCTGCACAGAAGGGAGAGCTGTAGACCTGATGTGGCGTCAGGTGGGCGGAGGTGAGTCAGATACAAACAGCAGCCTTGACACAGGCTCTGCTCGGCACTGAACTCTTCTTACCTTTCCTGTCCGTGTGCGCTTTGTGATTATTGTTTGTAAGCCCAGAGCTCCTATGAAAATCCCCGTCTGATTTCTTGGCAGTTAGCAAGAAGTACAGAGCAACAGAAACAAAAATCTCTTCTAAGCTGGCCAGGCTCCTCTCTTCCTGATGGTTCTTCGTGAACCCTGACGTTTGCAGGCGTCTCGTTGCCTGTATTTGCGGTCTTTGAAAGTGTGGGTCCAGAGCGGGTCTGGATTTCACAATGCATCGTGGTGGTGGCAAAGGGAGAAGGCTGAGGAATGAGGAATGGGTCTAGTGGAGAAGGTATTTGGCCGTATGTTAGCAGGGTTCGGGTTCTCCAGCTGTTTGATAACGTACGAAGTCAAGGGGAAAAATTTCACGAATGCACCTGCTCTCAGAGCACCTCAGAGGACTCTGCCAAACTGGTATTGCTCCCCATGAACTTTTTGAAAATAAATTCCTTCCTGGTGAACTTCACAAAGTGCAATTTTATCCTGACTGGGGTTTTATACACGTGGCACACAGCGGGACCTTCTGACTGCGCTCCCGGAGTGAATATACTTTTCTAGTAAAACAAATCCAGTCCTAATTGTAAACCTTGTAAAGTAATTTTGGAGACTTAGATTAGTCTCTTCTTCCTTGACTTTTCAGGTCAAGCGGGAAGGAAAAAACAATGAACACTGTGTTTGAGCTGCTGGGTCAGGCTGCTCGTACTCAGAGGAAACTAACCTGAGGAGGGAGAAAGCTGATACAGCTGCTCTTCTCATTTTCATGTATTTCTGTGTGGGTCTCTGCGGATTCCCATTCCTCAGATAAGAGACTGCAAAGTCTTTTGTTTCCTGATACAGCAGCTGCTGGACAATATCACCAGGCTTATGTGGCTGGGAAAGGGGGGCAATCAAATGTGTTTGGAAACACCAAAAAGCTGGACTTCACAGAAATTAATTTGTCTTAACTTGAAATGGAGCTTCCTCCCACCATCTCAGCATCTGTTCCCAACAGAGCTGTCTTTGGCTATGTGATTTGTGTCAGCAAAGGTCTGTGCTCACTGGGAGGGAGGGGGAGGTATTTCCGTATGCTTTCAGCCTGTGTTATGGCCATTGCGACACTGGACCAAGCAGAGAAGGAGAAGAGGTTGTAGGTCTGAAACTCTGGGGTTGAGACAGGTGACTCACTCCCGAGCAAATGTCCTTTCCATGGAGGGTGCAAGAAATAAATAGAAGTGTGCTTATCCTGGGCAGCCGCGCAGGGTTAACATACCCACTGCTGGGTAAGAAAATGTAAATCTTTTGTGGATCCTGCGGATCCATTGTCGGCAGCTGCACGGGTTAGTACAATGGTGAGCATCACACGCAGAGGAAAAATGGCAAATGCTCACAGGATGCACGTTCACTTCTGATCTTTGCTGGCTCGGTGGCTATAAACCGTGGCGATGCACGGAGATTAGATTTGAATCCAAAGGTGCAGTGAATTACAGTCTGTTCATTACTAGCATTTTACCTAATTATCACTTTGTACAGCCTGTCCCGGCTGAATTCACATTATCTGTAAGTAAACATAACAAGCTCTCACCCACTTGGAAGCTGCGTGACCCTCTGTGGCCAGAGCGGTGCAGAACTAATGCTGCAGCAAACTGAGCCCAGCTAAATTGGACCCGGGAAATGTCAAGTGACAAACACCCCCGTAGCTGCCAGCTCTCCCTGTCCGGTGCAGACGACTCCTGTTTCCTGCCACACCCTCCGCAACCCCCACCCCCTTCGGCAATGTGCAGTGGCCATCTGCCCTTCCTCTTGCTCCCACACGCGGAAACTTGGGGGTTTACGATCTGAAAGTTAAAGTAACCCTCCCGCCTTTGTCACAGAAGCTCTTCTACCGAAGTGGAAAATCTGCTTGCTCTCCTGTTTAGTCTGCGGCGTAGCGCACAACCTGAAGGTCCCGGCCCTCTGCACCCCGGGGTGTCTCCTCTGGGTGTCCCAGGGTTGTGCCACAGGACCTAACGCTGCTGATCACGCCGTCGCTAGTTCAAAGAGGTGCTCCTGGCTTAAACCAGCGTAGTAACTGGGCAGTAACTGGTTCTTTTCTGTCTTCAAATATAAGCAATTAGATGCCCATAAGGTGTCCTTACTGTTTCCACTGATGGAAGAGCCGCATCCAGTATCCTGCAGACCTTCTGTTAGCATTCTCTAAGCGCTTCCCTTGGCATTTTTGAACTGTCCTATTTTGTCAGCTCTCCTTATGCGATATTCTGATTCTCTTTTATATTCAGGATCTTTCTCAGCTTTGTCTTACCTGTAGATTTTAGGAGCTTCGTGCTGCTTTCTCCTTTGAGGTAATAATTCCCTGTCTAACACTTTGTGCTGAGCCTTCTGCATAGCAAAATGGCAGTTAAACTCTTGGAGCCATCTGTAGGCTGGGTAACAGTGTGGTTCTGTGGTCGTCTAATGATGTCAGTTGTAATCGTCTCTGAATTTACATAGTTTAGTTTAGTGTACACTAGAGCAAATGTCTGCAAAGATAGATCCTCTGTCCAGGGATCTTATAATTCCATCTCCACCGGCTGTGTTATCAGCAACCAGATGGATAGAGGATACCGCTTCTTATTTAAAGGCATAAGACCCTTCAAGTTATCTGCCTTGACACAGCAAAGGTGTTTGGGTGACTTCTGGTTGAGTTAGCCAGCTTTTTGCTACAACTAACCCAAATCAGTCTGCAAAGGGGACGAAAGGGACCTGTCTTCGTTTGTACTTTGGGTGGTACAAAAGAGGTTCGACAGGATATATTTTAAAGTTGCTTTGTTTTTATGCTAAAAAAAAAAAAAAAAAAAAAACCAAGGAAAAACCCAACAGACTTTGTCTAGGGTGGAAAAATCCATATTTGGCATAGAGAAAACTAGTGATGACAGGAGATAAACAAATGGTGAACTGTGGCGGTCACAGCAGGACTGTTAAATAGGCATCCAGTTGGTGCTGAGTGACTTCTGGTGGCTGCAGAAAGCAGGGCTGAGTCACGCCGTCAGCCCACATGCAGAATTTCCTCAGTCACAGCTCTGCTATACCCATTCCCAACACCTTCCGGGCTCCCTTCTAGCAGAGGAGACCATGCCAGCATCTTCCCCATTTCATATGGCCTCTACATAGCCAAAAGTAACAAAGCAAGGCACAAGTGTTTTCTCCCTTTTCAGTGAACTCCCTACAACCCTGAGATCTCCACCTGCCTCTTCAGACTTCCACATCCAACTCTCAACAAGAAATTCTTGAGGTTTGCGTTGGCACTGCCTGGGAGTCCTGCGAGATGTCCATCCCTACTGCAGTACCAGAAGAGATCTGAGCATTGTGAGCTCTCTAACGGACAGCAGGCTTGCCACGTGGAAAAGACAGGATTTTGTTCTCTGTGCACCAAACCAGAGGAAGGAATATGCCAGTTCACAGAATTGTTTAGGCTGGAAAGAACCTCTCAAGATCATCTAGTCCAACTCCTCTGCTCAAACAGGATCAGCTAGAGCAGGTTACCCTGGACCGCATCCAGATGGGTTTTTAGGATCTCCATGGATGGAGACTCCACAACTTCTCTTGGCAACCTTGTTCCAATGTTTGACCACACTCACAGTGGTTTCTTGTGTTCAGATAGAATTTCCTGTTTCTTAATGTGTAATTGCCTCTGGTCCTGCCAGAACTGTCGTACCGGTATAAGGTAGCTCTGGAAATACCATCCTGATTGGAATTGCTGTCAGCCTTACCCTCTTCTACTGTCTCCTGAGCTCTGAGGGAGCTTAACAAGGTAGGGGGGTGACTTTACATGCGTTGAGATCTCATTCTGTCACTGCCATTTGATTAGTCCTCTAAAAGGTAAATCCTGAACTTAATCTTTCAGTCTCCCTTGGTGTTAACCATGAGCCAGACTTTATGGTGATTCTCTTTGCTCTTGCAGGAAGAGCTGGCGCCCGGATTGTGGGGACAATGCAAGGTGGAGACACAGAGGAAGATGTAAGTAACCATCCCATTTGCTTGTAGAGCTTTTCTGACAGTGCTTTAGAATTACAGCCTCCCCTCAGCTAGAGAAACACCTTTTTACCTGCTGAATCTTCATGTCCCAGGCCTGCTTTTCCCCTCCTTTCCTCCAACTGACTGCTTTCTCATCTGCATAGACACATATTTTGCTATTTTTCTTTTGTTCTTAGAGTCTCTGCGCACTGCCCTGTGGTTTAACCTCAGCCTGCAGTGCATAACTAGCAGCACACAGGCTGCAGGAGTGCTGTGTTGCTGAGCTGTTGGGGCAGAGTGCTGAGAAGAGGGGATCAGTGCAGTGTAGCAGGAGTTAGATGCGTTAAATCTAAATTGCCTGCATTGCTCTAAAATCACATTCCTTGGAGCCCTCTGAGTGGCATGTACTAACACACAGCATCAGTCTTCCAGCTGACGGGACAGGGATGAGAGCTGAACTGTGAGCTGTGCCCCTCGGGACCTCTGCCTTGCAGATAAAGCTGTCCCGTGGCTCATGGCTTTGCATCTGGTTACGGTTGACCAGGTGAGCAGCTAGTGGCTAAGCAGGTACACACAGGTTTATGCAGTAGGCACTTGTTTTGACTGCTGTGCTCAGCCTTTGGCATATCATAGAATGGTTTGGGTTGGAAGGGACCTTGAAGATCATCCAGTCCCACCCCCCTGCCCTGGGCAGGGACACCTCCCACCAGCCCAGGTTGCTCCAAGCCCCGTCCAACCTGGCCTTGAACACCTCCAGGGATGGGGCAGCCACAGCTTCTCGGGGCAACCTGCCCCAGGGGCTCACCACCCACACAGGGAAAAATTTCTTCCTAATATCTAATCTAAATCTCCCTTCTTCCAGTTTGAAGCCATTCCCCCTTGTCCTATCACTCCATGCCCTTGTAGAAAGTCCCTCCCCAGCTCTCCTGGAGCCCCTTTATGGACTGGAAGGGGCTCTAAAGTCTTCCTGGAGCCTTTTGTTCTCCAAGCTGGACAACCCCAACTCTCTCAGCCTGTCTTCATAGAACAGGATGGGCAACTCCTTTGGCATCTTTCTGTGCCTCTGGGCACTCCTAAGTGGCTGTACATGTACTAGGAAGCTGAAGCCAGCTGCTCTGAATGTGGTCTGCATCCATACAGTAAGCTCTTCCCATCATTCCAAAAAGGTGCTTGCATCCAAGCTACCAGCCAGGAGCAGTGTGGGGATGTCCTGTTCCCCAGGGGATGCTGGAATATTGTTTTGGAGAGTGTTAGTTGGCACAGGCCAAAAGCATGCTAGGAAATAGTACAAACACTTTAAAACCATGATGATTGGGAACTTGCATTTGAGCCTGTGCTGTCTAATAATTTCCTTGTGTAGATGTAGCCTTTCTGTCTCACTGTCCAGCAGACACCACCACCCCCCCAGTGCTGCCTGTCTGGATGAGGAGGGCATGCTAGGACTTTAGATGTCTTCTTGGATCAGGGAGCAGAGGTTAATGCATAAGTGGTGAGCTAGCTCAACTCCGGGGTCCCTAGGAGAAGGTTTAAAATGGGATGGAAGCGGAGGGGGGAAATGCACCTCTACAGGACATAGAAATAGTAGAAACTCCCCATGTTCGCCACCACATACAAAAGCCGTTTGCCATGGCTGTCCAGCACTGCTGGGTTAGCTGTGCAAAGCTCTGGGCAGGCTACTTCTCCTGCAGGCAGGGCCAGAAGAGAGAAAATACCACTGCTGGGAAGTGTTGATGGCGGAGACCTGGAGGCATTGTAGCAATAAGGGAGTGAAGTCTCTTGCTAGAGAGGGATGAGCTGCCGTTCTTTCCGCCCATCCTCACCGTTCCTCTGGAAAGGAACTTGCAGACCATGCTCTGCTCTGCTGTTTGCTTCTTTAAGGCTGTTCGTTGCCTTCTGGGGAATGATTTGTACCCTTGGCCATTTCTGGGTAGGGTCAGGAGTGCCAATGCTGTAGGTGAGGATGTTGTGACCTTAGTCGTGGTGCTGCCTGATTGTCCTTGACCATGTTCTTGCCAGATTTGGATAGTCATCCTCTGCAATTTCTCTTCCCTTTGGACTTTCCTCTTCACAGCTTTCTCCCGTGTTTCCCTGTTGGCACAAGGCCCATCATATCCAGGTGTGGAAAGCCAAGGCCTTCAGCCTCTTATTGCCCTCACCCACAGCCACTTCACTTGTCTCATGGCTCTGCCCTGTTAACACAGCATCTCAGCAGGCACCAGGGCTGAGAGGCTTTCTTAGGGACCCTTGCAGGGAAAGAAACTGGTGAGGCTGGTTTGAAGCCCTTAAAGAGTTAATCAGGTTATGGAGTTGAGAAGAGAGCAGGCGTCAGCCTGCCCAAGAGCCAGCAGCTGTATGCCCAGCCTCTGTCACTTGCTGGTGTGGCATGTGATGCCTGAGCTGTACCTGGCTTCGCTGCCTTCTCCCCTGCTCCCATTCTGGTTACTTTCTGTTTTCTTTTATGTTTTTCTACTTTTATTTTTCTCCTGCTCTACCTCTCCTGTTCTTTCCACTCGGGTTCTCCAAGGGGAGATCTGCCCCAGCGCCACCAGGCACACGCAAGAGCATCACCAAGGCACAGGTGGGTTTCTCTCCTGCAGTTAATTTTCTTCCACTATGCCTTGATTCTTTGGTCTTGCAATAGGTATCACTTTAAAGTTAAACACCCTGCAAGGTTTTTAATACCACAGATTCAGCAGAAGTCAGAGAGTTTGTTTTTGTCAGCCCTGTGAAGTGGGGCTGGTTTGCAAGAAGCTGAAGGGAGCAGCCACTGTCTAGTAAAGTGAGGAGCTGCTGGTGAAAGCCATGCGGGCGGTTAGCTCCCAGAGGCAGCTGAGCTCTGGCTTTTCATTATTTTAGACAGCCAGCAGCACAGCAGCCTGAGCTGGAAAAAAACTTCTTGCAGAATCTGCTGCTGCTCCCCTGAGCAAGTCCAAATGTGGATCCATACCAGTCCAGACAAACAGCCTTCCCCGTGGCCCCCAGGTGTGGGATTGCACAGAGGGCAGGGGAGGAAGCGACTTAACGGCAGCCAGCAGTGCCATCCTTTACTTTGGAGCTGGCAAAGACGCCTTGCCATCTGAGAACTGAACTGGTCATCAATTCTGTTTGCTTTCCCACAGGAGGACTCGGGGGATAGTGAGATTGACCTGGATGAAGATGAAGAGGAGGAGGAGGAGGAGGATCTGGAAGATGACAGTATGGAAATCTCCCCGAGCAAATCCAGTCACCGAGCAAGGAAGCCAGAGCCGCTAGAGGAGAGTGATAATGACTTCTGACCACTTAGTAGCGGGACCAGGAGGCATCTGGAAATATAAACTTTGGAGAACATGCAGGCCAGGAGCTAATATCCCGCCATTTGAAAAGTGCTTGTCAGCACGAATTCAAGAGTTGGTAAATAATGTTCATTAAACTTGAAAATTAAACTTGGATTGCCAGGCTTGTGACTCTCAAAGCGTGAGCAGTTTATCCGTAATGAGAATCACAGTAATGTGGAGTGTGGTTATTTCCAGAATTGCATTAGAACTGGCCCTCATGCGCTCCAGTGCCAAAAGTCGCACTCCAGCGAGTATCGTGTGCTTGATTTCCCTGCATTTTATTATGTCCAAACGGATTTTTTTGGCTTAATAAAACTGGATGAAAAGCTGCTCTGGGAACACACTTAAATTGATTTTAAATCTGGCTTAAATCTATTTATCCTAAACATATCCTTTACTTAATCAAGGGCTTGCCTCCACAAAGAGCTGCACCAGTTGCGCTAAGGGAGTGGGAAACTAGTGAAGGGGTCCTCAGATGCCACCTTCAGTGCAGCATCTCATAGTATTTCAGCTGTGTCGTTTGGAATTGTTCTCAAACTTCACTGGGCTGTGCTTGAGTGTTCTGAGAGCAGCTGTGCGAGACAGCACTGTAACTAAATCTGTATGAAATTAGTCCTTTAATTATAGCAGTGCTTCTGAGGTGGACTGAGATTTAGGCACTCAAATGGGAAAAAAAAGTTGGGCTTTTGTTCAGCAAGTTATTCTGATGCCATCAGCAAAAGCGTATTCAGGTGAACGCAAAAGCTGGATTTTGTCTAGTGTGTTGCCTCTCTTCTTTTAGCTCTGCTTCAGCCCCACAATTTGTCTTCACAGGAGCAGAAATCAGTGCTTGATTAGAAGAGTTCATTTTGGTGTGTGTTCGTCAGGACAGACAAGAGCCCAGGCTGTTTTCCTGCCCTTCCCTTTTTTTACATCAGCAAAGTACTTTGCTTTCTGCCCCCATCTGAAGTCTAGAGTCAGGTCCAACCCCTCCATTATTGCGCTGAAGGAAGGAATACACGTGAGTTACTTGAAAAAACAAGAGCTTTTTCATCTCCCCATGTCCCTGGCCCCAAGGGCGGAACCTTGGCACCCAAGGCAGTTCCCCATCAGCAGACTCAGAGCTTGAAATGTCACGTCAAGGTAGGACAACAGTTTGCCGGTAAATACAGCGCAGTTTTTGTGTAGTTAGGGGACATGTGTGGGTGCAGTGATGTGCTGAAATGCACACAATTGTACAGGCTCGAGCTGAGCTGGCTGACCGTTAGGACACTTCCTTGCGTACTGTAAAGTTAATTGGCATTTTGCACCTGACTTCAAAGAAAGCAGACACAGAAGACGGTGTTTGTAGTGCTGGATACCTGCTGCGAAGCCATTAAGGCGGTTCTGTGACAGCCAGTGAGAAAGTGCACGTGCTCACCGCTGTCCCTCTCCCAAGGGATGAGAATGTCCTGATTTTAGGATCTTCTGTTTTTACAGCATTTTTTCATGTCACGCAGGGAATCTGTTCTGGTCCTCCCTGCGTGCTGAGGTATATCTGACCCGTGAGAGAGATTTCCCATGAGGTTGGGCCCAGCTTCCAAGTCTGGGCTGCAGTTTCAGAGTTACAGGTTTCTATGTTATTTCCTATATTGTAGGCCGAAATGAAAAGCTGACTTCATACTTTGCACACAGAACCAGGGCCTCTTCAGGCAGCACTGCCACCTAGCTTTTCAGCACAGCCGGCCGGGTTTTAGGGTAGCTGTGCTTTACATTGCAGCTTCTTATACGAGGCTTGAAAAGCAGCACTGTTCGCAGCCACCCCACCAGTGCCAGTGGAAATGCACCCTCAGAGCGCTTGGTGCTTTCAGCTCAGCAGTGTTTGTGTACAGCTGTGTGTGTGTGTATGCATAGAGATGGAGTAAATATATTTCAAATTGTTGTTAACCCCCTGTTTCTTGGAGCTCCAGGGCATGGGAGCTGGTTTGAGGTTGTTGATCACTCTCTCCGTTGGTGTTTCAGGTGTTGTTTCAGCTCAGGGTTAGGCACAGGCTTTGGGCAGAGCTGGACCCGAGCCTCGGTCTGCCCTGAAATAATGATGAAAGAGGTAGGGCTTAAATCACTCAGCGTCACTGCACTCTGTGGGAGAGCGTGGACCAGCCCCTCACACCTCATGGAAAAGCCGTGAGCCCTCTTCTCACACCAGTACAGGGCGTGGGGTCTACAGCCGGGGCAACAGAGCGCAGCGCACCCCAAATGTCACAGATAATGATCCACAACCAAGAGAGGAAGGCAGCGCGAGGCATCTTCTCAGCTAGGAACCAGTTTATTTCCACGTATGTACATATCGCACAGCTCAGCCCAGCGTTTCTCCAGGGTCAGCCCACAGAGGTCCCTGACTGCAGCAGCAGCGTGGCTCGGAGTGGGGAGAGGGGGCAGTGGCTGGAGGGGGGCTCTGGGGGCATTGCATAGTTTGGCTACTGGTCCACTTGCAAACCTGGCACCTTCTGGAGAGTCAGTGGGTCTCAGCCACGCACACGAGGGCATCACCTGGCACCTCTGCTTTCAGCAGCCGCCTGCCCGAAAGGTGACCTGCTAGGGGAGGACCCTGCCTGCAGCTGGGACGTCGGGAAGACACATGCCAAGGTCGCACAGTTTGTCACCGACGGCAACAGCAGGAGACCCAAGAAGTCCAGCCTGTACTCGAGAGGCAGAACTTCGCAATAAGCCAGTCCCGGTGTAGCACCAAGACACATGTGCTGGAGATGGCCCATCCTTGTGCGGTGCTGCTCCTCTTACGTTCACCCTCCAGCTCCTCCTCCCGTTCTCCTGAGGGCTCTTTATTTCCCAAGGTCTTTCTAGATGGTTCCACTCCTATGCCTTGGGATCCCTGCCTCTTTGATAGAGAACAGCACTACCAAACGCTTCAGCTGTGCTGGACCTGTTACTGAGGGCATGGCAAAGCGCACAGGCTGCGCTCGCTGCCTAGGACCCTGCTCAAGTGCCTGGGTCCAGAGCACCGCTCTCATCTGAGCAAGGGGTCAGCAAACCTCTCGTCTCTCTCCGGCATGTCAAGGGGAGCCTGCAGGACCGGGCGGTACGTAGCCAGGTGAGAAGGGGTTGCTGTGAACCCTGCCCGTGTTTCACCCGCTTCTCCCAGGATCCCTGACAGAACTAGAGGGAGAAAAGCTGGAGCAGAGTGCTGGGACCCCGGCTGAGGTGCTGCCAACGTTTGCCCACAGTGACTCAGGCTGGGAGGAGAGCAGAGCTCTCTGAGAGGTCAGGATGTGCCCGGTCTGGGGCAGGCTGTAACCCCATGGAGATCACCGGAGGGGGTCAGTGCTGCTGGCAGTGGCAGGTAAATCGCCCACAAAAACAAGAAGGGCTGGCACGTGGGATCTGTCCCCTCCTCCCTCCTTTTTGCATTTCACCCATTCCTTGAAGCTCCCCCATGGCCTGGATGAACAGGGACATGGTCGCACATCTCCCAGCTTTCAACACTGGGTCTTGACCCTCCTGCACTGCTGATCCAGAGGCATCAGGTCCTCCTGGGCCGTGCTGGCGACCTCAGGAGCTCTCCTTGCCCCAGTTCTTCTCCCTGAGATGGGAGATCTGCTGGCCGAAGGGGACCCACCAGGCCACCTCCTCGCTGTGGCCAGGAACCCTCACACGTCCACAACGCAGTCGGGTGAATTAGTCCGGATAGCGTCAGAGATCATCTTGGCTCCCGATTGACCAATGCGGTTCCCCTGCAGGCTGGGAGCAAAGAGAAGAGGAGTTCAGGCTTGGAGACGAGGCAGAGCAGGATCCTTGGTGGGTATGAGAGATGGTCCCCAGCTTTGTACCAGCATCCAGCATCATCTGCACACTCCCTACACCATACAGGAGCTCCTGCTGGGACCTCGGTCACAGCACTCTGGGTTTGAGAGCCCAGAGGCAGCCAGGTGAGAAACTGCAGAAATACCCTGGGGAGCTGGAGGGGCTGAGCCAGCCTGTCCCTGGGATATTTTGGAAAGTATGCGGCTTTTGGGGTGGTTCTTTGCCCCAGAGGCATCCCTGGAGATGAGCTGTGGGGTCTGGAGCTGTGTGGAGACAGTGGCTGTCACACCAGGAGCAGCACAGGGCACCCTTACCCCCTGCCCCATTGGGGAGGTCCCTGTAGGGCGGCTGGGAATGGGCAGTGCCAGTGGTGGGGAAGGTCCCTTGATGGTTCCTGTGGTCTCCCTGTCCCTGCCTTACCGTCCAGCTCAGCAGCCACTTACTTCACATAGGTGAGGCCGTGGTTGCCCTTTAGAGCGGTGGCGATGCAGATGGCTCCGTCCATACCCAGGGAGTTTTCCTGCAGGCTGCAGGAGGCGAGAGGGTCAGAAAGCACTGGCCAGGGAGATGTAGCCACCAGGATGCGATGCATGGCGTGGGCATCGCGAAAAGCCACCAGCTCAGGGGTTTGCCCCACTGAGAAGCTGCTGGCCTGGCTGTCCCCTCCCTGCTCCCTCCAGGAAGGTCTGGAAAGGCTCTTTCTGGCTCCCACCCCAGGGAGCAGGATACTTACTTGAGCCGGCGGAGACTGCGGTTCACTTTCAGTGCGTTGGCCATCGCTTTGGCCCCCGTCACACCGATGGAGTTTCCTCGCAAGCTGCAGAGGAAGGCAGGTGGTGAGGAAGGACAGCCCAGGATGGCCCCGTGCTGTCCGTGGGCAAGAGGAGAATGGGAGAGGTGGCCCCATGCCAGCAAGTCAAGGACACGATGCAAGGGTAGAAGCAGTGCTGAGCTAAGGACCAGGGTCTCAGACACCCCCAGGGAGCGGTGTCGCAGCCATGGGGACTTGGTGGCCCCGCTGAGCACTTACTCCAAGATCTGCAGGCTCTTGTTGACCATCAAGGCTTCTGCCAGGGACTGGGCACCAGCTGCGCCAACTGAAGCCACCTGCAGGCTGCAAGAGAAAAAGGACCCTTCAGCGCATGTTGTGAGGTGGCTGTGGTGTGCTAATTAGAGAAGCTAATTAGACAGGCTTCGATGCCAGGGCCCCGCCGCAGCCTAGATACTCACTGGAGATCTGTCAGGGTTGTGTTGACCTTCAGCGCGGCGGAGAGGGCGGCCATTCCTTCGTCTCCGATGGTGTTCTCCTGCAAGCTAAGACACGCAAGTGCTGCATCTGCCCACGGCCCAGGCAGCCAGGAGCAGGGCTACGGGCAGCGAGGGGCAGCGAGCACAGGACACGGTGTGCCGGGCTTTCCCAAATGGCCTGGGGCATCGCTGGGCCGCCACGCACTTACAGCATCCCCAGGCAGGGACATGCAATGGGGACACAGGATGGACTGGAGCGCATGGAGGAGGCAGAAGGCAAAGCCACCTCCCCTGGAGCAGCGTGA